GGCTGTAACTACTTGTTAGATCTTTCTTGCATATCTCTGTCTTCCTGAGAAACCACTTTGAAGATACCACCATGTATTACAGCAGCCATTGATATTTTCCCACTAATCTGTCCATAGCTCTGTAATGTTTGTATTGTTCCTGTGCTATTTCGTAAATGGATGTATGTTTATTATTGTGTTTCCTACAACAGCCATTGAGAATAGTTAATGATTATTCAATAGGTCACTCATGTATAGCTCTATTTATTTTCTTTAGAAGCCACTTTGAAGATACCACAGTATAGTACAACTATTGATAATCTACCTTTTTTGTCTGTAACTCACTATTATTTGTCTGTTTCTTTTCCTGAGAAACTATCTTGTAGATAACAATGTGTAAAACAATAACCACTGCTAATTTCCTACCACTTTGTAATTTGGTAAGCCCCTTATTACTATGTTATCCTTTTAAAAAAAAACAAAAACAAAAACCAAGAAACCAAAAGGTTATGTGCCCGAGAAGATGGAGCGGCCTTGCTTAAATTCCGTCCTGCCGGAGGGCTCTTTCGAATGTGGGTGATCTGCGGCTGATGGTCGCCACCTCAGACGGACGTCTGCGGCCGAATAACCCGACACCTCTTCCCTTCTGCAGATCTCAGCAGCCGAGCCCGGTATCTCCTCAGGCAGCGCCTGTCACGGCCCCGTCTGCCTCTGCAGTTTCTGACGCGCCGCCCCAGGCCGGCTTTCCGAGGGCCACACGCGGGTGGCGAAGGACAGCCCGCGAGTACTGTGGAGGGCGGCGGTCACGGCGTCGGCAGCAGCTCCTGGCTTCCGGCTGGGCCGTGACGGTGGGACACCAAGCAAAGTCTGCAGAGTGAACGGGTGGGGGAGCACAGCCCATAGGCCAGGCACAGGCGCCCTCGCGAGCTCCGGGTACGCTTGCACAAGACCCTGTCTGTCCCCAGAAAGAGGGGCGAGTGTGCGGGCAACACCGCCAGCCGGGGAAGCACCGGTGCCCACAGCCGGCAGCTTCTGCGCGGCCTGTACCAAACTGTTCAGCTCTGATGTTCACGCCAGGTGGGAGTCATAGCACAACGTCGACTGCAGACTGCTGGGTCGGAATGGATGTGTGGCTGTTCCCACAGAGGTTTGTCTTCGAGAAGGTGGTGGCCAGATGTGGCCTGGGACCATAGATTACTGCCTGTTTTCTTAACTGTGCGTTCTCAATATCAGTGTGTGCTTCGTTTTTACAATTAGAAACTGTCTAACCTGTTTTACCTTTTTTTTGGGGGGGGACAGGGTGTTACTATGTCCCCAGGCTGGCCTCCACTGGTGGGGCGCCTCCTGCCTCAGACTTGCAAGTGCTGGGGTTATAGGTGTGCACTACCATGCCTAACTTCTAACCTGTTTGTATTTATTTATTTATTTATTGGTCTTTTGGAGGCAGGGTCTCGCTATATAGTTCAGGCTGGCCTTGAGCTCACTTTTTAGCCCAGGCTGGTCTCGAACTCCAACTGATCCTCCTGCCTCAGCCTTCTGAGTGCTGGGATTACAGGTGTGCGCCACCACGCCTGGCTTTAGACAGTAGTGTGTAATAGTTTTGAATCCACTGAAATGTTACTTTCAATTTGAAATATTGTGAACACTTGTGTGTAAGAAATAATCTGATGTCCGACTCACCGACAGATACCTAGAGATCAGGAAGAGCTTGTTTCTTTTTTTTTCTTTTTTTTCTTTTGGTTTTTGTTTTTTCCGGTACCGGGAACCAAACTCACGATGTTGCACTTGCCAGGCAGGTGCTGTGCCACTGAGCTAAACCCTCAGCCCCAGGAAGGGCTTGTTTCTGACATCTAGCTGGGAAGTGAGGGCATCGAGCCCCCGGCCACACCCTGATGGAGAGGAAGCCCTTAGCATCCAGGAGCAGCCGCTGGATCTGGGCGAGGTGCCTGGATGGCTGGAAGACGATTGTGCAAGACAGTGATCACGTGAGCGGTGCAGCTGAGAGCCCCCTGCGAGGGGCCGGGAGACCTGCGCTCTGGGGAGCACTACTCAGCCCACCCAAGGAGGCGTCAGGGAGGAAACAGACTGCGCTCACACACCCAGGGAATGCCTGCTGTGTGCACGGGTTTCGTCACACCTTTGGTCCTCAGCGCAGTCTGAGAGACGGACGGTGTTTTCCTTTCCATAGGTGAATAAAGAAGCTTCCGGTTACGCAACTGGCCGGGAGGCAGGGAGTGATGTGGCGGAGAAGCCCAGGCAGGCCGCAGTGCCTGGCGCGAGTCCCTGGGCCAGTGCCCAGGCCCCAGGCTGGAAGGGCTGTGCTCATCTCCATTCTGGAACTTGGAGGCCTTCCGGGGAAGGGGCCTGCAGATGCCCCACACAGCTGGCCTTGAACTCTCGACCGTCCCGCCTCAGCCTCCCAGAGCACTGAGATTCTCAGCATGTGCCACCATTGAAACTCCGCTGTAATTCTGAAGTCTTGCGTATGCTTTTGTGTTGTGTGCGTGTCGGTAACACAGAATAGTGAGGTTCATTTGGGGAAATTGGTGCACCGTGTGACAGCTCTTCACGTCGTCTCTCTCCCGCCTCCGCTGGCTCCCTTTGCCATCTCCAAGGCTCTGCTTTTCAGTTCTTTGCCATCTTCCAAATTTACTTTCTTTTTCTTACACAAGAGAAAACGTGATGTTTAACTTTCTGACCCTGGCTTATTTCACTGAACATGACGGTCCCCAGTTCAGTTCTCCTGTAAATGACATGATTTCACTCTTATGGATGAACAGTATCCATTGTGCACACGTGTTGTATTTACCCAGCCCCGTGTGGACACGCACTGAGGCTCAGCTCTTATAAACTATGCAGCTATGAAGATAGCTATGCATGTATTGTGTAGTGTAAAGTCTTTCTTCCGGAAATACATCCAGGAGTGGTACAGCTGGATCAAATGGAATCGCTACGTTTAGTGCTTTGAGGAATCTGCAGATTGATTTTCACTGTGGCTGCTCTAGTCTACATTCCTACCAACAGTGTAGAAACGTTCTTCCCCCATCCCCACGTCCTTGACAGTAGGGATTTTGGTGCAAATTCACCTCGTTTAACAACTGTTTGGACTTATGACTCATCTTTCTTTGTACGGCTCTGTGCGTCTTGTTTATAGAGCCTCAGTGTATTTCGTACGGTGTACCTTGTTTGTACAGTACAGTAAGTTCTGCTGAGTGCGCCACAAAGGACCGTACTGTAGTTTTACATTACAGTCGTGCCTGTAAGAGCTGTGCGAAGAAAAGCAAAGTCATCAAGTTGGAGTTTCCTTGGACCATTTGTTCTGGATATTGCAGCATACATCCTACGTATAATTTCTCACTTATCAACCAACTCATAAGGACCTGGCCACAGGAAAGGAACTCCATTGTTTGTTTTTTGTTTTTTTTTTTTGTCTTTTTGAGACAGGGTCACACTGTGCAGTGCAGGCTGGCCTTGAGCTTACTCTGCAGCCCAGGCTGGCTTCAAACTTGCAACGATTCTCCTGCCTCAGCCTCCCAAGTGCTGGATTTACAGGCATGTGCCACCATGCAAAGCCAGGAATTCCACTGTTAAAGGAGAAATGTCTGTATTCTTGGCGACAGCCACTCTGACCGGGGTGAGTTGCAATCTCAAAATAGTTTTGATTTGCAGTTCCCTAATAACCAAAGACGTATTGGCCATTTGTAGTTCTTCTCTCGAGATGTGTGTATTCAGTTCATTTGCCCCTTTTTATTGAGTTATTTTTTCAGGTTAATCTTATTATGTGCTATAGATATTAATCTATCAGAAGAGTGGCTAGCAAACATTTTCCTCCCGTTTAGTAGGCTTTTTACTCTGTTGTTTCCTTTGCTGTGTGGAAGCTTTTGGATGTAGTCACATTTTATTTTTAATTAATTCAGGCTGGCGTCAAACTCTGTGATTCTCCTGCCTCAGTCTCGGAGGTGCTGAGATCACAGGCATTACCACCACACCTGCCTCATTTGTTGATTCTTAATTTTTTTTTTTCTTTTTTTTGTCTTTTTGAGACAGGGTCTCGCTATGCAGTTCAGGCTGGCTTTGAGCTCACTTTGTCACCCAGGCTGGCCTTGAACTCACAACAATCCTCTTGCCTCAGCCTCCTGAGTGCTGACATTACAGGAGTGCGCCACCACGCCTGGCTGTTGATTCTTGATATTATTTCTGGGGCTATTGGAGTCAGTCAGGACATCTTTGTGGCTAGGGCTTCAAGCGTTCCCCCTATGTTATCTTCCAGCACTTTCGAAGTTTCTGACTTTACATCTGTCTCTGATCCACTTTGATTTGATTTCGGTAGAGGGTGAAAAACAGGGATCTAATTTCAGTCTTCTGCATGTGGGCATCCAGTTTCCCTGCACCATTTGTGAAAGAGGCTGTCTGTTCTCCAGCATGTTCTTGGCCCCTCTGACGCACAGGTTTGTTTCTGTGTCTTCCTTGCAGTCCTGGGCCCACAGGTCTGGTTTCTGCCAGGGCCAGGCTCCCCGGTCACTCTGGCTGTCTGTAAGCTGAGGTCCGGTCTTATGAGGGCTCCAGCCTTGCTCTTTTTGCTCAGGACTGCTTTAGCAATTCTAGGTCTCTTCCAATTCCGTATGACCTTTAGGATTTTTTTTTTTTTGGTAGTTCTGTAAAAAATGTTGCTGGTGTTTAATAGGGACTTCATTGGATCTGTAGATTGCTTTTAGTAACATAGCCATTTTCACAATATTGTTTCTTCTGACCCATGAACAGAGGGTCTCTTTCCACTTTCTTGTATTTTCCATTTCTTCAGCGCTCTGTAGTTTTCACTGTAGAGATCACTAATCTCCTTGGTTAGGTTGATTCCGAGGTACTTAATATTTTTGAAGCTATTGTGCCGGGAGGTGTTTTCCTGATTTCTTTCTCAGTGGGCTGAGTATTGGTGGGCAGGAACCTGTTGCTTCATGTGTTAGTTTTACATCCTGATGTCTTGTTTCCTTTACCAAAGCTGGGAGCAAACACTCTTGGGTGCTGCTGTGGTTTCTGTCTGCACGTCCCCTACAGCCTCATGTGCTCATAGGTCCCTCAGGTGGGACCTGTGGAAGGTGACTGGATCATGGGGCTCACAGCTGACTTGCTGCTGGGGGTGTCTGGCTGGGAGAGGCGTCACTGTGGGCGTGGCCTGGAAGGTTCCTCTCCCTTCTTGCCCCTCCCTTCTGCCCTTGCTTCCTGGCCACCACGACATGTGCAGCTCTCGCTCTGCCAGGTCCCTCTGCCGTGCCATTTCTTCTTCGGAGCCAGCTGAGCACGGACTGAACTGTGAGCCAAAATAAACCCGCCCTCCTTTAGAATGTGGGTGTCAGGCGTCGTGTCCCAGCAATGAGGAAAGTGACTAAGACACACTTGTTCTCTGAAGGCGTCAAGGAGGGAACGGACTGTGGGCCGCCCCTCCCCTGCCCATCTCTGCCAGTGCAGGTGGCTGCTTCCCACGGAGAGCAGGGCCTGAATCAGCATCTGCCATGGGTGCCCTTTGTCTGCTGCCACAGGTGTTAACCACCTACTCGTAAAGCGTGGGCACCTGCGGCCAGCAGGGAGCTGGCAGGGGATCCCTGGGTGCACAAGGGTGTTAAGAGACACTACAGCAAGCTGGGCATGGTGACCCACGCCCGTAATCCCAGCACTCGGGAGGCTGAGGCAGGGGGATCACTGCGAGTTCAAGGCCAGCCTGTGTTCCATACTGAGTTCAAGACCGGCCTGCAATACATTAGTGAGACCCTGTCTCAACCTCCCCTCTTCTCCAAAAAAGACACTGCAGCAGAGCTGACAGGGCAAGACCCCGCAGGCACGCTCAGGGCAGTCCGGCCACCCCTTCTAATTCTTGCTGTGCCCCTGAGCTTACAGGGAGTTAACAGCAGTAGCCTTTGTGGCCCTGAGTCTATTCCCTCCTTTGACCTCTGGATTTTTGTGAGCTCTGGGCTCGTCCAGAGACAGATCCTCAGAGGCCCCTGAGATGTTAATAAGCAAATATGTAAATGCTTCGTCCTTCTTTTTCTCCCAGCCAGAGTCTCTTGGGCTGGAATTTGTCAGCAAAGTCTCGTGACAGGTGACAGGACACAGGCGGCCACAGGCACTGGGGGCAGGTCTGAGTCACTGCTTGAAGTGCTAGCAGGACAGGGCCAGAGGCACCCCTGCGGTCGGGCAGGAGACACTGGGCAGTGTCAGGTGCATGAATGCAACTTGGGATCTGCCAGCAAAATCAGGTTTTGCAAGGGAAACTTTGAACTAGCTTGACTTAGAAATTTTGACTTTAAAAAAATTTTTTTTTTTTTGATACAAGGTCTCATCATGTAACCCAGGCTGGCCTCGAACTTGTGGTGATCCTCCTGCCTCAGCCTCCTGAGTGCTGGAATTACAGATATGCACCATTAAACTCAGCTAAAATTTTGATGCTCTTCAACACATCTCAAATTTGAGTGATGTTTGAGACTCCTTGAGATGGGACAGGATGACTGACTAGGAGACAGGCCTCTGCCCTGGGCTTCACAGGATGAGAAACTGTGGTACCAAGAAACGAGAGGTGAAAATATTTTCCAGGGCTTCTGATGATAAAGTAATGATACAAACCATATGTGAGCCTTACGGGTGTCTCTGGCAGTAGACAGAGACGACCCCAATGCCTGTCGGGCAGTCAGGCTACTCGGCACAGCAAGTCCAGGGCAGGCTCCACACCCAGGTTGTGGGCTAGTGCTGCCCACGAGGCTTGGGAACCTTTCTCTGCTCCCAGCGCTGCAGCAGGAAGGCCGCTGGGGCCCACACGGCCTCGTGACAGACATCGACGACCGGTGACTCACCCCCCACACCAGCAAGTCTGCTCTACCCGCTCCTGTGACTCACTGGCCACAGGCCTCATCTGGACAGTGAGGGGTGATGCCCAACCCCGGCACATCCCTCCCACAGGGCCAGCAATGCCGTTCCACTTGGCTCTCGTGGACAAGAGAAGTGGCATCATGAGAACTCATGACCGCTCTGGGGTCGCTTGGCTGGGCGGAGCCTGGACGCACCACGTGGGCCTCGCACCTGCAATACCTGGTGAGCTGGGACTGCGTGGTGGTCCTGCAGCTCCCCCCGCCACCTGATGCCAGTGAAGCTTTCTCTTCCCATCGCTGGCTCTGCAGTTACTCGGTTCACAGGGCAGGGTGGAGCCGGACGCCTCGTGACAAACAGCTGTCACTTCACACGAGACAGTGCTGCCTCAGCCCACCCACGAGCCGGGCCAGAAGCTATGCTGCTCCTAGCTCAGACTTCACCTAGTGTTTGTCTCCGCTTCCAGTTTAGGGCCAGCCAGAAAAAGCCAGCTGTGCCAAGTCAGGCAGAGAGAGCCTGGGCCGCCCTTTATCCCTATGGGGTAAGCCTGCAGTCTCTGCCAACACGGGCCAGGGCAGCTGGCCCTTGGACAGTGATCCCTGAGTACAAACCCCTTCTTGTTTTGTGTTTTGAGAGGGTTACTAGGGATGGAGCCCAGGGTCTCCTACACACTATGCAAGCTCTCTACCACGGAGCTACATTCTCAGCCCTTCTGATTTTTAAACACTGTTGGTACGCTGCCCAGGTTGGGCTGGAATTTGAGATCCTCCTGCCTCAGCCTCCCGAGTAGCTAGAATTAGTTGTGTACCACCATGCCAGGCTCTGAACAAGAACCTTTTTCCTTGCCCGCCCTTCCTTTTTTTCTATGAGCTGCCTCCCAAGCCCTTTTCCACACTGGGTTTCACTGAACTGTTCCCCTGTGACCCTCCTGTCACAGCCTTCCTCAATGCTGGGATTACTGATGTGCGCCGAGCCGCAAGAGGGCAGGGACAGCGGGAAGCGGTTGTCTCCGTTTTCTACAGAAGAGTTTTCCATTTGGGGACTGAATCTGTGTGAACAAGCGCGGGAGTCCCGGCCCCACCGCAGGCTGGCCGCTGCCCACCGGGACAGGAGCGCAGCCCCAGGGCGGGGCGAGGCCAGCCCGGGGCCCTGTGCCCGGTCCCCCGGCGCCCTTCCCGCCCCGGGTCGGTCTGGGGCCTGAGTAGGCGCGGATCGCCCCCTTCCGGCCAAACCCTCTCTGACCCCTGAGGACCCCGGCCTGGGCGGGGACCCCGCGTCGGCGGCGCACGGTCGCGGTCACTCCGGCGTCCCCGCGGCCGGCTCTGGAGCGAGGCGCAGGTGACCGCGG